ACTTTCAATTTACCACCTTGACAACATTTCTGTGGGAAGAACCTTATTCCAAGGCTGTTTTTTCAGATCATCTTCCCAAGAGAGTGTATCTTAGGGGAAGCATCTTCGTCTAGAAATAACTTCCTTTAGGATCTGTCTTGTCTGCTATGCCTCACGCTGTGGGGGCTGACCTCCCCAAATTGCCACTCTGCTTTGGAAGAACCGAGAAGGAGACCACCAAAACACAGACAAAAACCTGGAAGCTGATAAAGTACAAGGGAATCCGCTTGATGTGTGAAAAATGTAGGAACTTGACTAAACCTAAGTGATCTATTCCCAATCCAAATCAGGAAAGGAGTACGTCAAGGCTGGTATGTGCAGAGTACATCATGTGAAATGCCGGGCTGGATTAAGCACAAGCTGGAATCAAGTTTGCTGGGAGAAATATCAATAACCTCAGATATGCAGATGACACAACTCATGGCAGAAAGCCAAAAACTAAAGAGCCTCTTGATGAAAGTGAAAGAGGAGAGTGGACAAGTTGGCTTAAAACTCAACATTCAGACAACTAAGATCATGGCATCTGGTCCCATTACTTCATGGCAAACAGATGGGGAAACAATGGAAACAGTGAGAGACTTTATTTTTGGGGGCTCCAAAGTCACTACAGATAGTGATTTCAGCCGTGAAATTAAAAGACACTTACTCCTTGGAAGAAAAGTTATGACCAACCCAGACAGCATATTAAACAGCAGAGACATTACTTTGCCAACAAAGGTCCGTCTAGTCAAAGCTATGGTTTTTCCAGTAGTCATGTATGGATGTGAGAGTTGGACTATAAAGAAAGCTGAGCACCGAAGAACTGATGCTTTTGAGCTGTGGTGTTGGAGAAGACTCTTGAGAGTCCCTTGGACTGCAAGGAGATCCAACCAGTCAGTTCTCAAGGAAATCAGGAAATCAGTCCTGAATATTCATTGGAAGGATTGATGCTGAAGCTGAAACTCCACAACTTGGCCACCTGATGCAAAGAGCTGACTCTTCAGAAAAGACCCTGATGCTGCGAAAGATTGAAGGTGGGAGGAGAAGGGGAAGACAGAGGATGAGATGGTTGGATGGCATCACTGACTCGATGGATATGAGTTTTGAGGAAGCTCCAGGAGTGATGAACAGGGAAGCCTGGCGTGCTGCAGTCCATGGTGTTGCGAAGAGTCAGACACGACTGAGTGACTGAACTGAACGGAAAGTGATCTATGGCTGCTCAGGTTTTTCTACATTTGAATTGCCAATCAGCAGCATGAAAATTAGCACCCTAAGGTAACTCTTTGGCCTCATTTTAAAGTACATTATTTTCTCTATGCCACTTATTTCCCCCTTCAACTTTTAGGACAACAGTCTTCTATTCTGCGTTTTTTTGTTTGTTTGTTTGTTTTTTAAGTCAGCATGGGAAACAGACAAATGGTCTCTTTCCATCCTGTGGACAATAAAGCCATGGCTCCAAGAAAAAAAAAATGATACGTGTGATGTAACGTGGAGCACAGTGCCTGGCACACAGTAGGTAATCAAAGCAACTCCAATAAGAACAGAATAAGAGCTCTTTTTATGACGGTTTCATGTATCTGCTTTTTCACAGGTACTAAGCAGTTCAACAAATACTTTCTTTTTTTCTCCTTCCTATTCCTGTATTGGGCTTCCCTCGTGGCTCAGTTGGTAATGAATCTGCTTGCAACACAGAAGACCCAGGTTTGATCCTTGGGTCGGGAAGATCCCCTGGAGAAGAAAATGGCAACCCACACCACTATTCTTGCCTGGAAAATCCCACGGACAGAGGAGTCTGGTGGGCTATGTCCCTGGGGTCACAAGAGTTGGACGCTACTTAGCAACTAAACCACTACCATTCCTGTATTAAATACCACCCATACCTTGTCCATGAACAGAGAAATATCTTGCTGTGTTACAGAAGTGTAGGAAGGAGATCATTACAGGTCTGTTTCTTTCCCAATTAAAGGCTAGAGTCAAAGACCAACAATAGTATAAATTCCCTAAGGAGAACTTGCCTTCTCTCAACTTTCTATCGAGGTTCACGGCCAATGGGCTGCACAATTTCTCATATCTCAAGGAAATAATGGCTTAAAACAGATAGGAGGTATACTGCCATTATCTACATGGTAGTATATATGCTTTTTTCCTAATCCAAAAATAGAACCTGGTTTATTTGGGGTTAAGATAACAGAAACTTGAGAAACCAACACTTTTGGGACCTTCCCAACTCAGGGATTGAACCTGAGTGAGTCTCCTGCATTATAGGTGGATTCTTTACCATCTGAGCCACACAGGGAAGCCCCTTTTATATTCCAGATAACAACAAATAACTATAGAACTGTGTAGATGAATCACATAGCAAAGTGAAATTGTGATTTCTAGTGATGAAAGATAAGCAATAATGTTTTCGGCCTCCAAGGATGAAGGGAGCACTAGGAAAGATGCTGTGTCTGAAGAATGACACCATTTTTAAGCAAGCATTTTCCCTCTTGAGGTTCAGAACTTTAGGAGAGAATCCCATCTGTTCTGCAGTGTTGACCACCAGTCGGCACTACAGGTCAAAGCCCACGCATGGCATTGGAAGATACAAGCATCTAGTTAAGCCAGAAGAGCCCAAAAAGAAGGGGAAAGTGGAAGTGAGACCCATTAATCTGGGGACAGATCATGAATACGGGGCTTTAAACATTCACCTGATCGCATATGACATGGCCCTGACAGAGACTTATGCCCAGTATGTTCACAACCTCTGCAATCATCTCTCCGTTAAAAGTCGAGGAAAGTTATGCGATGCCCATCAAAACCATGGAGGTGCTGCAGCTTCAGGACCAAGGCAACAAAATGTTACTGGATTCAGTTCTTACCATCCATGAGCGAGTGGCTCAGATCAGCGGTTTGAGCGCTACGTTTGCAGAGATTTTCTTGGAAATAATCCAAAGCAATCTTCCTGAAGGAGTCAAATTGTCAGTGAGGGAACACACTGAAGAAGACTTCAAGGGAAGGTTCAGAGCTTGACCAGAACCGGAAGAACTGTTAGCCAAGTTGAACTAGCTCATTGCAGACCCTTTCATGCCTTTCAGCACTGGTGATATTGAGTGGGAAGGGGAAGAACTTCCTGGGTGGCCAGAGTTGAGCAGGAGACCCTGACTCTCAACATCATGAGTACCCATCTCCACTGCCAGGAGTATCTCCACTCCTTGCTTACCAATTGTCACCACTTTTCTTTGAGCCAACCCTGGGTATCCTCCAAATAATAAAAAGCTGCTGCTGATGGAAAAAAAAAAGAAATAATGTTGTCAACTGAGTCACCTGATCAAGAAAAATAAAATACATGCCCTAAAAAATTTTTTTTACCCTATACAATAAGGAAATAGGGAGATCCCATAGACTTTGTATTTCCCTAGAGATGTAGTAAAAGCTTCACAGTCTGAGTCACAGAAAGGTACTCTCAGGACAGGCTTTCATAAACACACTAAAGCCATGTTGGCCCAAGGGTGTGTGTTGAGGAGGAAAAGGAAGGGACGTTTAGTGCAGGCATCACACAGAATGTTTTCCAAAGTTCTCCCTTGCCCTGGTTTAGATTTATATTTTCTCAAAAAGAAAAATATATAAACATCTCAATATGCTATTTTCAACCTAACTAATTTTTTTAAAGGGAGAGAAAACTGCTCTGGATAAAATAAAATGAAAACATTGAACAACCCAGGACATGAACCAGCAAGGATTGACTAGTATACACATATCATGTTTCTCTCTGCGAAGGAAGGTAGGGTAAATCCAATTGTTGGTAGTTTCCACGTAATTCATTTGAAGGAATTTTGAGGGGGAAAAAAGAGAGGAAATGGAAGTTGAAAATCAAAATGTTCTGATTACCAGTAACAAAAACAGATGTATTTCAGGGTTCATTCAATGCACTATATTATAATGCTTCCTAGGGGGCAATAATGGTAAACAATCTGCCTGCCAATGCAGGAGAGACAAGAAGCACAGGTTCAATCCCTGGGTCAGGAGGATCCCCTGGACTAGGAAGTGGCAACCCATTCCAGTATTATTGCCTGGAAAATCCCATGGACAGAGGAGCCTGGTGGGCTACAGTCCGTGGGGTCCCAAAGAGTCAGACATGACTTAGCGACTAAGCTGAGCAAAGCAGGCTGAAGGGAGAGGTTAAGTAAACGTTATCCCTATCAGTATCGATTTTTAAACATTAAAGCATTTTGAACAGAAAATTTATCTTTAATAAATAATACATTGTGTAGAATATAAATAAGTCTTGATGTCTCAGGGCTATTACTATTAACCTCAGATGCAATAACTTGAAGAGAAACTAAAGTAGACAGGATGGTCTGTCTCTATCAATGGCCCTTCTGCCTTAAAAACAGTTTTGTGCCTATTTCAAAATAAGTTTTCTGCCTCCTTCTTTCACGAGTTTAACTGTCTCTTCTTATCAGGTTGTGTGTGTGTGAGTCATTTAGTTGTGTCCAAATCGTTACAACCCCATGGGCTGTAGCCCACCAGGCTCCTCTGTCCATTGGATTTCTCAGGCAAGAATACTGAAGTGGCTTGCCATGCCCTCCTCCAGGGGATCTTCCTGACACAGGGATCGAACCCACGTCTCTCATGTTTCCTGCACTGGCAGATGGGTTCCTGACCAGTAGGGCCGCCTGGGACGCCCTCTTATTAGGTTGCTGCTGCTGCTTGGGCCTGTGAGATAGGAAATTAGATCATCCAGCACGATAAGATCATATGCACAGAGAATCACGAGGTGCTGAGGGAAAGGCTAGGAAGGTCCCCCAGGAGTTTAGAGGATGAATGGCTCCGGTTCTGCGGCCTTTGCTTTGCTCACTTACATCTGGGTGCTTCTCTGTGTCCCACACAGTTGAGGTTATTGTATGGATTATTTGTAGTTAAATCCACAAAAAACAATAGGGAAGAGATGGCTTCTGTCTCTTTAATTTGCAACTCAGAGTCACCACTTGGTACCATACCTGAAGCATCAGCACCCAGAGACTCAGTATGGACATTCTGTGTAAGTTTAAGTTCCTCCATGGCCAAGATTTTGTTAAATGTTACTGAAATAAAAAGTATAGCATACAGACTTTGAGCACAAAGTTTATGACACTGGAAAAAAACAGTGGCCCACACTTATATTACCAGTTCTGTTCTATGTCTTCCACTTCAGCGAAAGAAAACATATTACCGTTCATCATGTTGATGCATATGATATGTAATAAAATGGAAGAGATGGAGGAGACAAAGTAATACCTGTAATAAAACCCTGAAATTATTATTGCATTTCACAGTCCACAAAACTGCACATTCAGTGAATTACAGTCTCCATCAAATTGCCGACCCCTGCCCCTAGGGAGAAATTTACTGTATTCCTCATACCTGAAAAGGAAAGGCAGGATTAGCTCAGGGATGTTTTCTCTTTTAGTAGTAATAAAGTCAATGTTTATTCTGGGTAAAACGACATAATTTCCAAACTATGCATAAGAAAAATATATCCTGCCAAATATACAACTTTCTCACATCTCATCTCTTCTATTTCAAAAGCTCATGAATACTCAAGATTTGTATTCTGTTTTATGTCTAATTTCTCATAATATTTTTAGGATAAGAGAACAGGTTTAAAAAACATCATCATCATCTTCTTTTATTCCTGTATTATTTCCCAAGTAATTCAGAAGTGTTTACCTTGCAGAGATTATGTATTAGAGAAAAAATTTTCCTGGCTTTACAAACTAAGGCAAAAATCGTTTTTTGAAATGTTTGCATTTATATAAGGTCAATTTTTATCCTCCTACTTTCCCAGCTATAACACATTTCCATTTTAAGTTCTGTTTCTTTAGAAAAATTAAGTTCCATGAGTTTTTCTAGCTTATGCCCACAGGTTCCTTTGGCAACTATCTCTCTACTTGGTATAAGTAATCAACTATGTATGTGCTCAGTCACTTCAGTCATGTCTGACTCTTTGAGACCCATCAGAGACTGTAGCCCACCAGGCTCATCTCTCCATGGGATTCTACAGACAAGAATACTGGAGTGGGCTGCAACGCCCTCCTCCAGGGGATCCTCCCAACCCAGGGACTGAACCCGCATCTTCTGTGTCTCCTGAATTGCAAGTGGATTCTCTACCCACTGAGCTACTTGGGAAGCCCAAGTAATCACCTAAATTGTCTTAGTATCAAAATGTCTTTTATATCTTTTTACCTTTATTAAACTTTTTCAAATTCCAATCACATTTTTGAAGCATTCATTTCTCTGAGCTTCCATAAAATTCTAACTTTGGATCTTTGTTATTTGTATAGTTTTTATCAGCTGTTTCTTATAACATTCTGTCATGAAGCATTTGCACACCTTTCCCCTGCATATTAAAGCCATGTTGTGATTATACCCCCTTCTATGCCTTGAAGCTCCCACATCACAGTGGCTGTGTTAAGCAAGTTAAACATCCTCCCTACTTTTACATCCCAGTATGAAGTGTTTTCTTAAAACTCAAAATATACTTTTCATGACCCACGTTGCTCACCAAAAATCTCAGGTAGAAAGATGAAACTGAATGTTTTTCTTACACCTTTCCTCAACACTACAACACAAATCTCTAAAGTTATTACTTCCATCCCTCTCTTACGGTTACTGAATTTATTGAGAAAACAATCAGTCTCAACTTAAATGTCATCTCTCTACCGAAACTAGTCCAGATGTATCCAAGCTGGTCAAACCACAGAAGGAAGTCAAACCACTTTCAGAGCACTACTTCTATCCCCACGGTTTTACTTTTCATTGTGATTATCTTTAAAAAATAAGCTATAATATTAACAGTTCTTTATTCAATTTTGATTCCTTTTATGTACCTCTTAGCTGCTTCTTTAGCTTCACGACTCTGTTAATGGTAGCCTTAAATTCCATCATCACTGAACAACTGGATATTCTGAAGCTTCACTACTTTCTTCTTTGGTACCACTGTCATATTGCTATAAAGGACACAATATTGTTTTTGAATGCAATTTCCTAGGACTGATTTACAAAAGTGCTCTGTCAGATGGACCTGGAATCAGATACATGTTTTCTTTCATAGGCTCTATTGGTATACTACAAAGCATAATCTACCCAACCTATGTGAAATGTTAGGACAGGATTGTGAAAATGTATCAATATAATTGACACATGCAAATCTGTTTCTCATCCTGTTATGCCTATCCACACTGACTTTTACAGTGCTCACAACGGTATATTTTTCCATTTAATCCAAGTCCTCTACTACTTACTGAATGCCCATGAAGCCCACAAAATGGAACTACACAAATTGGGGAGAGAAAAGAGGCATAAGTCATATTCTGTCCTCAGAAAATTCATAATCTCAACAGGCAGGATAGAGAATGCTCCAATTGGAATACAAAAATGACAAAACTTGTCTTCCTAATCTTCTAAGGAAAACATAGTAGCCTGTGAGAATTCTTTGATTTAGTAATTGCCAATTTGATTATTTGCGAGTGATTCCTTAAGATTATGTGTGCAACAGTGGGTATATAACAACATATGCAATTTAGTTGAAGAAAGATTCTCATAACTTAATATCAACATCAGAATCTCAATATACTTTTGTTGTTCTCTATTGATAGTGTATATGTTGTTTTTGTTTTTTTTTTGATGGAATACTTTGGTATAACTGTAGTAAAATGAACACTTTGGGAATGAAGAAAATCTCTAGACATCTCCTTTGAAAATCTCAACATACCACACTCTTTCTCTTTTCTCATACACTCCTCCCTTGTCAGCTTTTTCAAATATAATTTCCTCAGAATGAATCATCATACAGGAAGGGACTAACTTTGCAACCATTTTACTTGGTGATCAACAAACATTATGACAATATGCCAAATTACATGTGCGGGCTGGGGACTCAAAGATTAATGAGACAATGTCCCTGCCTTGGAGGAACTTGGTGTCTTATGAGACAATGTTGTCTGTGTGGGCTGAAGGGAGGCTGCTATTAATCAGTTTTACACTGCTCCCTCCTAATGCCTGATAATATAATTCAGTATGAATTTTCAAAGATCTTTCATGCCTGTATTTTGTAAGAAAAGTCCAGTTTTTTGACACTAGGGAAATCATTCTAGTTATGTGAAATCAAGTAGCTTCCTTAGGTAACCTGATTTCCTTTGCATAGGACAATGTTTATGGGTTTACTACCCACAAAGTCTTTTAAAACATGAACATTTCAGACTTCAATTCATAATTCTATCCTTTGGTCAGCTTTTTTTTTCCACCTCTAGGTTGATTTTTAAAAACATCTGGCTGGGGTATAGTTGCCTTACAACGCTATATTAGTTCCTGTTGTACGGCAAAGTGAATCAGCTTATGTTTACCTATAGCCCCTCTTTTTTGGATTTTCTCCCCATTGAGGTCACCACAGAAACCACAGAGCACTGAGTGGAGTTCCCTGTGTCATACGGCAGGTTCTCATCAGCTGTCTATTTTATATACAGCATCAACATGTACATATGTCAACCTCCCGATTCATCTCACCACCACTTTCCCCTCACTGGTGTCCATGCTTCTTCTCCACATCTGTGTCTCTGCCTACTTTGCAAACAGCTGCATCTGCACCAGTTTTCTAGATTCTACATATATACGTTAATATATGATATTTTTGCTTTTCTCTTTCTGACTTACTTCACTTTGTAATACAGTCTCGAGGTCCATTTACATCTCTGCAAATGGCACAATTTCATTCCCTTTTACAACTGAGTAATATTCCATTGTATATTTCTAGTCTTCCTCATAGTCAGCCTCTTCCCACAAGTCTTCACACCTTACCAAGCTTCTCATGTACCATGTTTCTGGTTTACCATTTGTATCATGCCCTACTTAGTGATGATAACACTGGATAGATGTTACTGACGTCTCTGGGGCAGTGGGTAAGACATGGTTAAAAACAAGACTACCGGAAGAGTATAGCTTCCTGTACAGAGAATAAACTCATTGCAAAATGATGTATAACAGGTTCACATTTGTAAACAGTTTAAAAGGTCATGGAAAACTCTGAAGGGAAAAATAATCCCAGTGGACAGTTCTATCACAAAATTTGTCTGATGTACTGTGAAGACAAGGGCTATATACCTGGGACTGTGAGAGAAGAGTTTAGGCAGATTTGGGTGTAGGATGGCTGTCAGTGATTTTTACTGTCATAACTGCTGATGTTACTATACACAGAGTTCACAGTTTGTCCGTGATTGTGTATTGCAGATGTGAACTTGTTTTGCACCACAACTCAGAATTCACTTTCCTTTAGAAATAATGGTAGAGGTGGTGGTGGGTATTCCAACCAGTTCTCTGTCGAGGAATGAAAGGTTTATTCCTCTAACTGCCGCAGACACAGGAACCCCAGAGACGGTGACCTTTTAGTCTCCAGAACCTGTGAATGTGCTACCTTCTGTGCACTGGAACTTTGCAGAGATGATTAAATTAAGGGCATTGGGACATGAAGAGTATCCCATGGGAAGGATTTTCCAGGTGGGCCCAATGCAAACACAAGTACCTTTATAAGTAGGAGGAAGGAGTGTCAGGGGTCATAGGAAGAGATGTGATGACAGAAGCAGATGTCAGAGAGGGAGAGAGACTGGAACATAAGAATGAAGGCAAGCAGAATATGCCACCCTAAAATATGCCATCTGGGAACACTGATTACTTTGAGTTAAAGTTACTTGGGAAAGAGCCAGTGCAAAAAGGGTACTTTGACCTTCACGTGTTGCCCTTAAAAATGGGAAATAAGTATCCCATGTGAAAGGTATCCTCCCTGGGGGATAGAAGGCATCCTTCTCACCAGACATGGGGAATTCAGGACCAAGAAGGCTGTGCAAAGAAAATTTGTTATTTCTTCACTAATTTACTACCCCAAGCCCAAATCTCTTTGTTTCGTCAAGGTTGCACAAATTTATTGTTCCTTTGTCTAAGAGGTATACAAACTTCCTACTTTGGTGATTTCTTTGAGTTTCATATTTTCATGTATATATGGGACCCCCATATATACAAAACTAAATTTG